CTATCTATCTATCTATCTATCTATCTATCTATCTATCTATCATCTATACACACACACACAGACACACACACACACACACACACACAGACACACTGCTTTAGATGACGCTTCCTTTTTATAACAATGGGCCTATCGTTTGCTCACTCTCATTTTATATGATGGAAAAATTGGATAATATCCTATTTCTAAGTTTGTAAAAAAAAGCAAGTATCCTGTCAAATTAATAAATAGATTAAAAATGCAACATATTTAACTGCAATTACTGAGGAACATTTCCACACATCCATCTAGAAATCTGTTAAGAGTCCTATTAAAAGCATAACTTTGTATTCCTTTCCATTTTTTTTCTCGAAGGCTCACAAAGAGAGCATAAAGAAATTAATAATTTAATTTAAATTTGTACATAGCCCTATTTCTGAACATTATCGCCTCTCCATTGCAGTGTGTTCTATTATCTGTCACAATGGTTAGATTTTGATGCGTTTGTCTGATATTTAAATTACTATCAAATCATCTTGCAGCATTTAATTCCACAAGCTGATAACATGGTGCATGAAGAGGATCCCTTTATGATGGAAACAGATTTCCCTGCAAAAAGACATTTATTTTTATAGGTATACGTGTATAACCACACAGACAAAGTCACACACACACACACACATTTTCTTACCTTTTCCTTGATTTCTGTCCAAGGCTGCAATTACCAGCATAACCAATGAAGTAAGAATGATCTCAAATCAGAATTGATTTCTTCTTGTCACATGGACATTAGTACAGTTTTCTTGGCAACATTACAAAAGTTGTGTGCCACTGCCTTCCTCCAGAATATTTTCCAACTTCCCAGTTTGCCTACATGGAAAATTCAGGAAGGGTAAGAGAGAGAGATTTTGTTTTCCTTTTGGAAAAAAATCAGGAGTAATGCTTTAAAATTATTAAAAATTACCATAATTTCTGTATAATGACAATTTAACTATATTGTTTCCTTCACTGCTTTAGAACCTCTTTTATTCAAAGTGCCTTTATAGAGTAGAATAATGGACAGACTGGAAATATTATTATACTATGAGCAATTTATATCAGAATGCAGGATTCATGCTAACAACTGGACTTGTAATTAAGAATGTTTTCCTCTTTGTACATTTAAAATAACTTGATATTATTCTACTGCTTACCATGCTCATGATCTCTTGTAGTACATCAAATTCGTCCCTTGAAATTACCGCATGCTTTCCAGCACTGTTAATTGCTTTGTCTTCCTCTGAAGAACTTAAATCTACTTTTACACCTGACATGACGATTGTAAATCATAATTCGTTGGCTTCTGGGAGTAAGTCCAAAGAATACAATTTGATGAATTGACTGAGAGGACAGAGCCACTAGTTGGAACGCTCATGCAATGGAGACCAACCAAGGCATCTCCTCAGCATTTCCGTCCACCTCATTGCTCTGCAATGCCACTGTTTATTTCATTAGGACGCAACCACAATCTTCTTGCTGAAATGCTAAGTAAAACCATTCATTTTGTAAAGTGAAATGAACAGTCTCTTTTCACAGCTCTGGATGCTTTCTTTACAATCTGTTCATTTTCATGGTAATCAATGCTCAGAGATCAATCGGTCATGCCCGATTTCATAGTCTATTACACATCAGCATAGATGGGTCAGATTGGGTAGAAAAATACATGAAACAGCAGCTCAAACTAGAACAAGTTTTGAAAGAAATCCAATTTCCCTTATTTTCCATTGGCTTTGGTTACTCAAGGCCCTTACTTCAAGGGATGTATGCAACAACACTCACAAAAATGAATAAACAAGTATAAATTATATCCCCTTTTCTGGGTTGCTTGAAAAGATAACAATTAAAAGAAAAGAACAGGAGCTTCAAAGTCAATGGTGTTGATTGTTTAGCTGCTGAATAAGAAGCAGATATAGGAAGTGTATTAAAATCTTCAGTTTAGGGAATTGTTTGTGTTAACTAGAGCCTGAGGTACTTTTCAGTGGTGCCTTATGATGGTTATAGAATCCCATTAACTCTTTGTTTGCTTTAAGCCAGTTTGCAACAATGAGAATATTTTGAGGACCTGCTGTAAAATAGGAAGAAATCACACAGAAAAGAGATAATCAAGCTATAATTATGTAAAAGCTTGCTTCTGAGAAGGTCCCTGATGACTTCCATGAAATTATTACTAGTAGACTGAAGACCAAAACTAATATTAATAAAAGTACTTTGCCCATGGGGAGTAATTATTTATTTTCGAATTTTGAGGCCATCCAACTCCTTAACCATACCGGGCATGTTACAAACCGGTAAATTATAAACATAGATCATAGCCAGCTAGAAAGTCAGTAAAAGCAATTATAAAACCAAACTTTAGCAAACCATGCAATTATCTGATCCCAATGAAAGCCTTCATTACAATAGAAACTAAACCCATCTGATGCTTGGAATATTAACCTGTTCATTGTTACCTAAAGTGTTTATAGAGTGAAATGGTTTGTCAGATGGACAATGCTCAGGAATCTGAAATATAGATGGCAGCAACAATAGAAGGGGGGGAGAACAGGAAGTTAGGACCATCTTTCGGTGTGGAACACTTTGTGCTTGCACTAAGTAGAAACAGGGCTAAAGAAATACACTACTCTTGGCAGTTAGCTACTATCAGCTAAGCGTACCTGATTTTCTCTTCAGAAGTTGCCTTGGGAGTTATCATAAATTGCCATGCCTTGCTACCAGTTAAAGGTATGGTTTGCTTTTCTTCAAAATTACTTTGAGCTTGTATCTCTTTTCTTTTGCTATAGCTTTATTTTCGCCTCTGGACATAATTCGAAGGCATTTTTTAGGAAAGCTCGAGTGTGTATAAAATGGTCGAGTCAGTAAGATTATCTTTCAAACTACGAGATAGAAGAGTAGTTCTTAAACTAGAGGGGTATTTTGGTACATCCTGGGAACAATGAGTAATTTGTAATAAATTATTTTGTGAGTTGAGGATCCAATTTGGGATTGCCACTATCAAGCACTTGTGGGGTTTTTTAATGCAGCTAATGACATACAAGACTGAAGAAAAGAGTAATTGGGTTAAACAGTTGAAGAACCACTGAGCTAGAGAGAAAGCCACTGTTGTAATTAAACCATAAACTAATCAAATTCTACTTTAGGAAATTCACATTAAAGTCTCCTTTTTCTTGAAAAATCACTGATGTGAGGAAAAAAAGAATTGGCTAAACAAGCAATATGTTCATACGCACGTCATGTTAAACATATGACTGTTTAGTAATACACCACAGCCTAATATATCAATCCTTCCTATAGTTGGCATATCAGCAGTTAGGTTTCCTGCAACTCATTAGAACAAATCACTCAACTTGGAAACCCACCTTCATTTTTCTTTGTTAGGCATTGGTATAGAGTAAATTATTGGTCTATAAGGATTTTTAGTACACCCTGCACAGATAGAGTTGCATGGATGGATACTAATAATGTATTGTGAAGTAGAATTTGGGGATCAAACTTAAAACCACATCTTTCAGTGGAACTAAAGTGCTAAGCTATACAAGAATTTGACACAAAGAACTTTCATTTAAAGGAGAAAATGATACTAGGACAAGCAAATAACATACAACTTCAAAGGTACTCATCCCCTCTTTACATGCCCTTGTCCAAAGGGAATTAGAGTCCTTGCTCAGCAATAAACACAGACACAAGGAATGCTGATTCAGGAAGTAGCAGTGCTGAGAAGCAAGGACACTCCGGGAAATCTAAAAAAAAACATATGCTAAGATCCCTTTGTTAGCACAAGTAAACAATTGCATTCACCCCATTATCCTGACTTACCAAGTTTTAAACTCAATCAAATTGTTTGCTACACTAATTAAATGTATATCATAATTTGTGTCAGTCTATAAAGAGGGAGTTTATCCCCTCCCCTCTTTTGGCTTGTCTTTTACCTCTAGAATCAATCAATAAACTATTTGTACTTCAATGAAATTGTGCTGATCTCTGAATTATATGAAATCAAATGTTCTCCTATAATTGTCAACACCATGGTTTTCCCCAACATAAAACTGTGAAAACTAGAATTTTGGAAAAATTGCAATTAAGACAAATTAATGCATCTGAACTGTGAGGCTGAATGCAATTATTAAGACTATTTTGGACCACAAGGAAGAATAGTTCAGTATCGGATGATAGTTCATTATCAGTAAATAATTTCTATCTGTACTGCACTGTACTGGGAGTGTTAATAACTAACATTTACATTTTAATTAATATTTCATTGCCAATATCAATATTAATAAAATCCATTAATAACAGTAAACGTAAATATTAAATATAAAGGCAAAAGTCATTGGAAAAGAAGGTCCAAGATGAGAAGGCAATCTTGAAGGAAAACCCTTGTTAAATCAGGATGTTTTGATGTACTAAACTCCACAACTTAACCTCACTGGAATATATCTGAAGTATTGAGCTTTGCACTTTAGTATCAAGATTATTTGCTATCAGAAAAGCAAATTATTATCTACTGAATAACCATAAGCAATTCAAAAAGATTATAAAGTAGGGTATAAAATACCCCAAACCAACCTTTAATTAACATTAAACACATTCATTTTACAAGGGTTGAGATTCATATTATAGAATGCAGTATTTAATGTATACAAAATAAAATTTGTTCTGTGTAAACAAAAATTTACAGGTAAAGAATTGTATTTGAACACAGTATTTTACACAATATAGAATTCTGTACAATGCATTATTTACAGGAAAGTAACATAAAACTTACAATTTACAAACATGCACATTTTTACACTTCCCCTCTCTCCCTCCCCTCTTTCAAGCCAGTATGTCATATAATCAGTTTTAATCGATGAATTTTAATATTGAGAAGTTTTTGAAAAAATGAGATATTTTGTGAGTGCTGCCTCTTAAATATTTCCATGCTGAAATAAAATCTTTGCCCTTCCAAATAAGGTCTTATCAGGACCGGACAGGATCAATTTAACTGGTTTATCATTAATTTGAATCTTAATTAAGTTCTTAATTAAAGTATGGGGTTAAATTGCAAATTGCACACTATTAAAAATAGTATTTTTGCAGATAGTTATAATTTAAAAGAAATGATATTTTGTTAACTTGTGGCAAATCTGCTTTACAAATGAAAGTTTGATATGAAAAACAATGTTATATTAGTCTGTAAAATAATACAGCACTTTAAGCAGAGGAAACTTGTTAATACTGGAGTTTTATTTGTAAAATAAACAATATACACTAGTTCCTCATAAATTCTAACTAATAAGCCATATTAGGATTTGGCAAATATACCACTTAAGTCATATTTGCACTTAATGAAAGAGAAAAAAAGGAATGTATATGCTCAACGCTCCTTTTAAGTTTTCTCATGATTATTGGAGTCTTGGGCTAACAAACACTCCTTTTATTTCTGATCAACAAACGATAGTCAGATTGTTCAACTCAGAACAGTGACTCATATGTTAAAAACTGGTCTTGTGTTAACCAAAAAATTTAATGAAAAAAAGGGTTCTGAGTACAACACAGAGGAAGAAGAAGCAATAAAACACCTTGTTCTATGCTTTATTTTGCAAATGATCTTTGGCACCTGAAGTGGGTTGAAGTCATAGAAAATTCACAGCAGCTCAGGAAGTTCAAGCCATACTACTTTCTTTTTCCTCTGTATTCCAAAATGTGCACTACAGTTTTACCATTTGTTTTCTGTATTTAACACAGAAGTGTCAAATTTGTGACCCGCAGCCCGGATGCGTCATGTGCTGGCCCTGCCCCCACCTGGTTTAGCGAAGGGGGGGAAAGTCCCAATACATCACATGACAACACCGTGACATGAGTTTGAC